TATATATATATATATATATATAAGTATTACTTTGTGTTTTATATTAGACATCTCGTAAATTTATTAAAGATATTTCTATCTTTCGTTTTTTTGAAAAAAAAAAAAAAAAGAACAAATTACATGCCAAGTTTTAAACATTGGATATCAATAGCATCACCTTTGTGTTTATTTAGCTGCCTTAGTAATTGTAATTTAGTTTGCTTACAATGATTAGTATGTAACTCGTATGAAGTACACATGTTTAATAATATCGGTTCTTGTAAACTTTTCGTAGGATTTCTTGCTACCGCATTTTCATACAAATGTACTGCAGCTTTAAGCTGACCAGTATAAAGAAGACTAACGGCCATATTATTGATTAACATTACATTAGTGGGATCCATAGAAGATGCTGTATGAAAATAATTGAATGCTTCTTGAAAAGAATTTTTAGCTACCGCGATTAAACCTTTATCTACTAATTCTCTAACTGTAATTGTAGTCGTTTGAGTTACTCTATTATTTAATAATGTTTCTGCAGTAGATACATCACCAAGAAACAAATGTATTCTTCCTATGCTAGATCGAAATATTTGTAATTGTTCAGCTGTCCAATCATGTGATTTGCTCAGTTCTTCCAATATGTCTATCGCCAAAATATAATTTTTCATTCCAACCGCGCAATTAATTATTGAAATTAATATTCTTGATTTTCTACGGGACCATAATACAATAGCATCTTTTTGTTGTTCAATATTGGTAACTTTGGTATCAATTTTATCTCCGGTAAGATCGGCTTGTAAATTTGACATTATTTCATTGACTATACTCAAAAGTTTGTGTAATTTGTCCAATGCTTCTTTTGGTTTACCATAATAATATGGTACTTCAGCTAATAGTAATCTAAAAGCAAACGAAGCCATGGAACCTGGTCTGGTACCATATAATTCTGGATAAAATGTAAAATACATATCCGGCTTATCCAAATCTCCAAATGGTTTAGATTCTTTTTCCAACAATTCAGTTTGTTTCAATTTAGTTAACAAGGAAAGTCTGGTGTACCATAATTGTAAGGAATGTGGAGTATGTTTACTCGGTTGATTTATTTTTCCATAACCTTGAGCGTAAATCGAAATAAGTCTTCCTGACAAATTAATAGCAGCTCTGTAACAACCAGTTTGTATTAATTTTCTCAATCCACGTTCGTCTTGGGTTACATCCGAAGCAGTAAGTACATTTCTTTGCATCTCTTCGTCTTCTCCTAAAAAATGTACAACACCATTTTTAATTAAATCAGGCATGTCTCCTTGTAATGCTAATCCTGGCATAGTTAAATTATCTCTTTCAAGAAAGGTTGTGCCAACTGTTGAAGTAGCAACTGAGCGTAATATTTTACGAGTACGTTCAGATGGTATCCAAGCGTCTCTGTGCAAATCACTGTAGGTTGCATGATCAGACATTCTATCATTATCTATTAAAGTATCAACGGAGAACAAATCGTTGGGTGTACCATCTAACATTGAATTAAACCTTGAAATATTATCATCTGATTCTGATGAGTTATTAAAATAATTCTGTTCATTTGGTGCTACGATATCGTCAAAAATCGTACGTGGCGCATTATTAAAGTAACGACTGATATCAGCTGTTGTCTTTTCTTCTGTTTCTTCTGACACTGACGTTTTGCTGTTACTTTCGGCCATTTTCTTGAAATAATAATTATTTATATTATTGTCAATATTAAATAAAACATGGTTGGAATTTCTTATGAACTTTTAATTATATCAATCAGATAATTCATTCATATTTCATTTGTATAAATTGATTATACCTTTAAAAATGTTCCATGCTTACATTTTTAACTATAATAATGCATATAGTCAAGAGAGGCGCTGGAGTTGCGTTATACGCAGAAAGGTTATGTTCATAACATATTTAATAAAAATTATTCTATAAGAATTAAGTATAATTGTTAATAAATAAATATTCTTTCATTTCTTCAAAATAATGACATATTAGAAACATGAATTGACATATCACAATATTGATCAGATTGACCAATCTTAAAACAAAAAATATTCCTAACATTTGCATTTGTCCAAACCTTGACCCATATTTCATATAAAATAATTGAAGCAATAGAAATGTCAATATATTTTTTACTTTCATGCAGATAATTAAATAATAATAATTAATATTAAATAATTATACAATGAGAAAATCGTAAACTGTTATTATTACCTTTCCACTTGCTTCAGTATTCCTTGCCTCTGATTGGTTATATGAAAATCCGTATAATGCGTTGTTTTAGTTTCACATGTTAATATAATATTATCATTTATTTAAATATATAATTATTATATAATATAAATTCTTTCATATAAATACAAATAATGTTCCCCATTAATCTAGTAATTATCCCTATAAGTGCATAATGCAACAAGATGGTGACATATTTATCCACTAGTAATCCGTGCATTTCATTGGTTATTGGAAACACGTCGTCGTCTGCAGTGATCCGTGTAATGCTTTGTCTCGGTTTGACGTGAGTAGCAGTACTCGTGCCTACTCATGCCAGTTTAAGAAGTCGTCTGAAGAAAAAGTCATTAATATTTGGGCGATTTAATGCGGTTACGTTTATCGCAAAATGTATTTGATGGATACGTCGTAAAACTCGTGTCTCGTTATTCACGTTTATTAACATATTTGTTTTATTCGAAAATTACATAATGAACGTGCATTATTCATCGAACGGAAGAAAGGGGGATACGAACGTCAAAATCGTATTATACTAATAAGCTTGTTTTATTTTGTTCCCCTTGTTGTTGGACTTTTTGTCATATAATTTCGTTACGAAACGGATAAAGAAAAAGAAAAAAAGAAAGATAGAAAGAAAGAAAAAAAGAAAAAATATCTTACATTACTCGTCATTAAAAATCCCGAAAAAATTACATTCTAATTCGAGTACACTCTTTATATGAATAAATTTTAACTATAATACGTAACAAACGTAATTGCGTAAAAAAAAAAAAAATTACGGCAATGATTGATTATTAGTTAATTTTTTCCTTCAAATGTGCAATAAACTGCCATTGAAAATTGTCCGGGTCTTTTATGATATTTTTTAATTACTTATATTACAAAATGTGAAATCACACACACACGTATCTGAAAAACTATCTTAGCATATATGAATACACACACATATACAACTTGACACACACGCGAACGCGCGCACATGTAGATTTCAATCTATTAACAAAGCATTAAATTTCAATTAGTATTTCACAGGACAAATAGGATCGTGTTTGATGTGATATCAAATATTTTCAAATTTACTAGAAGAATCGACAATTAGTTTCTAGTTAACCGTCGTAATGACAAACTGTTATTTAAATAGAATTCTTACCTTCTCTTCAAGGTTAAACAAGTGATTTATTATATTTTTATGTTAATCTAAGTACGGTTATAAAATATATATCTCGTTAAATCACGGTAAAAGTTTAATCGTATTTTATTGTGTATATTTTTTTTTTTTTAGATCGAAGTTAGCCCCTTTTTTTATAAACATTGTTGATATTGTTCTTAACGTTTCTTAAATAATTTCGAGAAAGAAACAACAAAAATAAAATAAAATAATAATCTCTTTAGTGAAAATTCTTTTAATTTTTCTCTCTTTTAACTCTCTTTCTCGATTTTTTTCTTATTTGTTTCGTCTCGAATTAAATCATAACCATGACTTATACCATTTTTAAGCATAATGTTTCTTACCAAAACTATTGAACATTACAACTTGCAATTTTTTTATGGAATACGTGTTACTCAGTGGATCATTGAATCATCGTCATTAACATTCTCTAGTACTTGATTCAATATATATATATACATATATATATATAGAGAAAGAGAGAGAAAGAGAGAAAGATAAAGAGAGAGAGAGAGAAAGAGAGATTGATAAAGAAACAGCAATTATTTGTAAGCAATTTATAAACTAAAAGATGCCAGCACCACCTCCGCCATTAACAAATTTAACAGAGGCACCTGTGTGCCAGAAAACAGAGGTGAGCGACCCTGATTCTTTGCCCTCTTGGGCTAAAATCACACTTACGTCTGCAGAGGCAGAAATAGAAAAATTAATTACAAGTAATGAATTGAAGGATGCAGAAGTGACTTACTTTTGTCAAGTCGAACCTATTCTACAAGATGGACCACAGTGAGTTTTATTTTATTATTATATATATATATATATATAAGAATAATATTTTAGTTGTTTGATATTTGATTAATGTTTTGTTTTATTTTAATATAGATGCGGTTTAGTAGCCCTCGCAATGGCATCTCAAGAATATACAAAACCTGTTTCTGTTAGTCAATTGTTAGCAGAAGCTAGAGTAAGAGGTTTCACTCAACACGGAGAAGTATACAGTGTTGATTTTATGGGTACCTTGGCAGCTGAATATTTGCCTGATCATAGACCGGATATTTTGGTTGATTTACAACAATGTCCGGATACTTTAACTCATGCATTAGCACATGGAGCTATGGTGCTTATACCATACGATTCAGATTTCAATCATGCTCCTTGCTTAAAGAGAGGTCATAAAGCTCATTGGGCATTACTTGTAGGACTTATATCATCGAGGTATAAAACTATACATAATTAATTACAAGAATCTGTGTGTAACATGTTAATGAAATATATTTTGTTTTGATAGGCAAGGGTATCATGTCTTAGCACGTCATGGAAAGTCGCGTCACCTGGCTTGTTGGCCATTACGTGATTTAATAGAAAGTAATGGTAATTTAGAAGAAGAAGGAACAACAAGACACGCAGGTGGATACGTTATACCAAAGGGTGGAGTTGGTGGCCAAAGAGGGCTACGTGGTAGAGCACTGGCATTGCATCCATACATATAAAACAATTATGTACAAGAGCTGTAGAAAATTAATATCGCAGTAAACGAATGGGAATCATTAATACAGTGTTACTATATCCAAGTTATGAGATTAATATTTGGGAAATAACATTTCAAGAAAAAAAAAAAAAGAAAAAAAATACAAAAAAAAAAAAAAGATATACAGTGCTAATACAAAAGCGAATCTATAGTTCTTTGTAAAACATAACGCTTCAAAACTTAACGCATACGCGAATTACACAATGCAATTTTGCCAAATGCATGAAAATGAGTAAAATAAAAAAAAAAAAATTGAAGATATTAAAAAAGAAAAAAAAAAAGGATAAATACCAAATCTACCACTAATTCAATTTCATAGTAAGTGCAAACATAAGTTTAATAGCTCTCATTTTTCTCTTAATTATATGAAATGTAAATAATTCTATTATGTCGGTGAAACAACAACTTTTGTGTATAGTCCGTTTGCCAGTGGCATAAATCTTCTTATCTCTTTACACGTTAAAAATATGTTACAAGTAAACGGGCTACCGATCGCGAATGTATTTATTTATAAGTCAAAATGGAAGGTATGTTTCGTTACACATTAATGTCTCAGTGCGATGAGACCAATTTCAAAAGTGCAAGGTAAATTGCACATCAAATCAATATGGCAAGTGCGTGTATGCAGAATAAAAGAAAAAAAACGGACCTATGTAATAGTCCGTACGTGAATTGATCTAATAAACGTATTAGTTAGGAGTTATTCAAATCAATACTAGCCAATATCAAAGTATTCAATTATATTTATTTAAAATAATGGAGAACTTGTGCAGGCCTTCTTAAAAAAAAAAAAAAAAAAAAAAAACAGTTAGTTGTATAATTATTTTTTTTCTTTTATTACATTTGAATAATCGAAAAAAAAAATTATAATAATTATCAAAAAAAAATCTGTGTAAGGACCGCAAATGCAACTTTGATGAAAAAGAAGAAAAAAAAAAATACTAGCCGTACCAATTTAATTATATTGTGTAACAACGTACGTATATGTAGAGTAACAAAAAACAAAACAAAACAAAACAAAAAAAAAAGATTATCAGAAATATTCATTCAACGTGTGATCGATGAACCGAATATTTATTTATGGAAATGAAAAAAGAACCTGCATGTATCAAGTAAAATTATTTATAAACAATAAACTAATCATTATTATACATTATGATCTATATATACATATGTATATGCGTACATGTATATTGCAATATATTTTTTTTTCTTCATTTAAACCTTTGAGTGTTGATAAATATTCTTAACCAAAGCAATTCCAAAGGATAGAATATTTTAATTGCTAAAATTAATTATATCAGGTGCAATTAACAATAAATTATAATTGTTGTTCTACCAAATGAAAGAAGAGTTTTATTCACAAGAAAGTTTATTTAAAATACAGCTTTGAAACACTGTACTTTTGATACTGGAGAGAGGTTTATGGGATGTAAATTTCACAAAACCATAAAAGAGAAAGTAATAGCGACAATATGCAAACCAACATTGCATTCTTTGCATTCGTATCAATAAATATATATATATATATAACGTATATATGTTCATACACTCAAAGGATTAATCTACTAAGAAATTAATATTTCACATCTACAAATGATGATGATGATGATGATTATTATTATTATAATTATAATTATTATTATTATTAACAGCTGTTACTTCTTTAGAAATGAATGTTTCATTAGTTTGAAGAAAACTATTCCTTTTATTGAAGAACTGTGTCATTGATTGAAATGCTTATTAATGTTAGTTATCATTAAGCAATAGGTCATGCGATTATTAATAGCAGGTTTTAAATAATCACTATTTCATTATCGATAAAGTAAACTTTGATTTATTGTATAAAATAGTAATTGCTACTTAAAAGAATGCTGCAACACTTGTAACCATCGTGCTTCCTATTTTTGTATTCCATTCCATTTCAGTAATCTCTAAAGCTGTAGTCAACATTTTTATTTCAAAACTAATACTTTTACACATTAGACAAATTCTAGAATGCACTGATAAAGCACCATCAAACAACAACAAAAAAAAAGAATTTATCTTTAATATTTTACATTTATTATAATAGCCACGTTTTGTGTTTTGCAATATAAACAAAATATTAGCCAATGGCGTCTTAATTAGTTACAGAAAGTAATATACATATGTGTGTATATATAAATAGTTAATAGTATTCATTAAATTGTAGCTTTAAATTAACACTATATACACGTGGCGAAAGATATTTTCACAACCATACTTATTAGCTATACTTGAATATACGCACATTACTATATTACATATTTTGCACGTACACACATATATGCACGTGCTGACCTCTTGCGGCATTTGCTTTTACTCAACCACTTACGTTAAACATTTTGTTCTCTCTCTCTTTTTTTTCTTTTCTTTTTTTTTTTTTTACAAAATAAATACAATTATGTAAGACGACAAAAAAAAAAAAGGAATTTAAAAGTTGACAAATTTCATTCATTTAATTAACAACAAGGATATAAATAATATTGGTTAACGTTTAGTCGCGATTTAAAGATTGTTACTAAATGCTAGTTTTATTACGTTTTTAATGCTCTTGTTGTTTGTTGCTGTCGTCAATGATAATAATAATGATGATGATAATGATGTTATTTTCATTAGTAAGGATTTTTTAAATTCAGTTTTATTTTAATGTAAAACAATTTATGACGTACGATTTTTTTTACCAAAGAAATTCTATTTTTCTTTACTAACAAGTTATAAATAATACAATGATACGGTTTCTCCAATAACCTTACCCTATTCTCAATTATTCTAAACTTTCCATTATTATTATCATCGTATAAATTTACATTTAACTATGACTCATTTTCAAAAAGTATTCTTTTCAATTTAAAAAAAAAAAAAAAAACAAAACAAAAACTATTAGACTATTATTTTTGAAAATATCTTTAAAGTGTTAATTCAACTGTTTTTAATTGTTTAGGAATATTTTCAGTATTTTTAATTATATGTGAACAATGTTTTAGGATTAAATAAAGAAGATCAAGCGTTGAGTTGAGCTGAGCTGGCAATTTTCTTCTTCCATCTCTTGTTTCTTCTTCTTCTTCTTCTTCTTCTTCTTCTCAATACGTTTCTCATCACATTCGGTAAAGCTAAATATAAATCTTCTCTTTCTTTCTTTCTTTCTTTCTTTAACTCTTAGGTATTAAACTCTTATGTGGTTAGTGTTATTTCTCTTTTAGATAACGCAACTTCTTGTTGTTTGCTTGACCTAGGATAATACACGAAGTTTTTTAAATATTTCATTCGAATATCGATATCTAGAATTTCTATTTAATATTTTTTCTCTTAAAAATACTTTAACTGTTGATACGATTAAAAAAAAAAAAAACAGGAGAGAAACTCGTCTCTTTTACCAATAATATAAATACACTTACAAAAATTGTACATTTTATCAGAAAAATAAATATACGATAGGGGTAAGAGGGGGGGGGAGAGGGTTATTTCCTCGATCGATTTTATATCAATCACAAGATAATAATATTCTTGAATTATTAAGTTCAAAGAAAGAAAAGAAAAAGGGGGAAAAAAAAACAAATATGACTAAGATAGTTGATAATATTTCCACGGATTGTAAAAGCGTGATTCATTTACGACCCATTTTTTTCATTCGTTTGCATTCTATGATAAAAAGTATAAAAAAAAGGAAAAGACAAAATATTGTAAGAATATTTTTTCCAATATTTGTTTAATCTATTCATCGTTGTTATAGCTTTGAGTCTAGTTGTACACGTGGCCATGGCATCAGCCATACTCATTACGCACATTGTTGCGTTCTTTTCTACAAACCTAGCACACGTTAACCTCTCGTGGTTATATGCTTGACCCCCCCTGCTGCTTCTTATATTACAATATACAGTAGTGTGATCACTGTATAATAATGTATACGATCTATAATATTTTTCTTTACCAATTAAAAACAATAACAACAACAACAGCTGCATATCATCTATGCATTCATCATAATATCAATAACTTATATTATACAGTGTTTTCTGACAAGTATTAATAATAATAATAATGACAATTACAATCCTATTAAAATGATATTTATAAAAATATAATTATATTATAAAAAAATATGTTCTTTAGCATATTGTTAGACATTAAAATGTACAATATATACATTATAACGTCTGTACAAAAATTACATTATTATATTTACACTGAAATATTATTATTTTTTAGAATAATTGCAAGGATCACTTCATTCACGGATGAGAGTAAATCACACACTTCTGAATATTAATTTTGAAGTCCAAGGTTAGCCAGGATAGGGACAAAATCTTCTGGTGACACGGATTTTGAAAGTTCGACTAACGATTTATCACCAAACACCTTAATGTTGTCAATTTTAACAAGCAATTTAAGACAAACGTAATTCAGGATGATGTAATTGCATATTCTCCCAATTAATTGCGTGAAGTAACTTCCACTAGCTAGTCCACCATGCTTCTGATATCTCTCTTCGTTGCACAGTCGGATTGGAGTGTTGATGAAGTAATCGGTGATAGTTTCCCACATTGCAATCATGGCTCTAGCGTCAGGCACGCCATACTCCTAGTATCCTAAGAAGTTGGTATTTGTAGAGAGGATGAAGAAGTCAATCTCGATCAACCAAGCTGAAATGGTTTTATCAAACGCCTTAAAATCAATACCCAAATAGTATTTTCCTTTCATTACATTCAACAATTTCCGACAATCGGCATTACCAGTCTCAAAGTCAAATGCGAATGGAGTGTTTGTCTGCATGAACGCGTTGATGAGAGGTATCTTCACCAAAGGTTACCGTTGCAGGATAACACCAAAGTCCTCAAGTTACACCGTTCTCAAAAATCTGTCTTCTAACGAAGGCGCAACAATCAGGCATTGTCATTCGTTCTTTTCTCTTAAAACGGTGCCAAAATAAATGTACACGTTTTATGGCATCGGGATCTTTCTTGATGTCTCCCTTTGTTTTGTATCCCTGTTGGCTCCATGATAGTCCAGGTGAAGCGGACCATATCGTGAGATCTTGTAGAAACACATCGGCTAGGTGTATCATTTTGACTTGTTCAGGTAATTGAAACGTTTCTACTGCCCTTTTGGTTACGTATTTTATGCAGAGATCCTGGCTCACTTCATTTTGATTATTGGAACGAAAAGCTATGATGTCACGGATGAGAGACAGATACACTGAACGTCGTTTATACTTTTCAGCAAGAGGAAGCAGATATCCAGATGGCTCTGGAGGAAAGAATCGCTGGTTAAAACCATTAGCTTTCCCTCGATACATCGTTCTAGTCGAAACGACGATTTAAAAGGGACGGCGGATTTGCACGCGCGAATAATATTTGAGAATGTATGCCGAGGGGCACCAGGTTAGACAATACTGTGGTGGCGCACTACTTTTCTCCTCTCTCGTCTCAGAACGCCGCGCGCCGGTGTTTGCAGGTCGGCGTTCGGCTATTGGTCGGAATAAGGCTCGGTGGTGGGGATACGGTAGCACCGCGTCACGAAGTGAGGCCGAGGAACTGTGAGGCGCATGTATCAATGCGCAATCGCATCTGAACGATTGACGGAGTCGGGGAGGTCCGAGGAATAAACAGAGTGGCGAGACCGCGCGACCAATAGAGAGAGGGGGAAGAGAGGAAGAAGAGAGGAGAGAGAGAGAGTAAACTCGAAAGAGAGAGACGGGAGAGAAGGAAAGGGATAGATAGATAGAAAAAGAGAGAGAGAGAAAGAAAGGAAGAAAGAAAGAGAGAGAAAGAGATAGAGATAGAAGGAACAAGCAGCGAGACGATCACGATGCACAGAGGCGAGCACAAGCGAGCAGAGGCACAGGGCTGAGGGCTGAGGGCTCAACAGGGCCTTCTACGACGATTTACGGAATCTGGCCTGAATCAGCCAGCAACGATGGAACAAACGAAAACTCCGGTCTCACGGCTACTCACTACAACCTGCATCGAGAACAAGGACGACCTGGAGGAGGTAACATAAATATTTGAAATAGTCAGTGGATACGTATCGAGTGCGAGGGGCTCCGCCATTGTTGCGACGGCCGCGCACGTCGCTGTCTGCGTGGCGCTAATGTCAAACCCACGCGTCTCAGCGCGATTTTCAAATCTCTCTACTATACTTATTTTTATTTTTATTCTTATTCTTATTCTTATTATTCTTAATTATTATTTTATTCTTATTCTCCTTTTTTTTCTTACTTTTTCCCTTTGCATTATTAGTTTATTCGTGATTTTTACTCGATCAGCCAATTATGATTATTAGTGTTTTAAACAAATAAAAGATAATAACATTTTCAATATAAATGTATTTTAAATATCTTATATTATATATACGTGTAAATTTATATATATATGTATAAACATATGTGCGTGTGTGTGTGGGTGCGTGTAATTGTTGATTACAGAAATTTGAAAGATGCTATGCCGTACTTCAAAATCTGACTACAGGCCTTTCGGAAAAGGAAGCACATGATACGTTGAACAATGCAGTATGCAAAGACAAAACGCACGAAGAAGTTTCCTTGGGATTGGTAGTTGTTATTTTAACGGATAAACAAAATGCCTCTAAAAGTTATAGAGACTTAACGCTTATAACCAGAGACGGTCTTTCAATTGTGTTGGGACATCTTAATCAGTTGGTACTGGAAAGGTATCTCAGACTGAACGATGTTTCCCGAGGTCAACTTTTGTGGTTATTACGTGAAATGATAAGGACTAGCGTAGCTAATGTTGATAATCTTTGTTTAACTTTATTGAGACATGCGGCTGGTGGAGATATCTCTCAAAAAAATCTGTTCCTAGTCGAGGCCCTCTTGGATATATTTCAAGAAAATCGGCCATGGCTGGACAAATTTCCTTTTTTGGTGGCATCTATTGTTTATACGTATTTACGATTAATAGAAGATCACAACAGTCCTCATCTGACCGGTCTTCGACAGAAGGAAGTTGCTTTTACGGTATCTCTTTTAAGAGAGAGGATAGTGGATTGTTTAGTTATCGGAAGGTACATACATTTTGCTTTTTATTTCATATTATTTCATGAATTTTCTTATACTTAATTATATAACAATGTTTTTTTTTTTTGCAGGGATTTGGTGCGATTATTACAAAATGTTGCGAGGATACCAGAGTTTGAAGCACTTTGGAAAGATATATTGTTAAATCCAAAATCTCTATCACCTAACTTCAGCGGAATTCTTCAGCTTTTACAAACAAGGACTTCTCGAAGGTTTCTTCAATCGCGGCTTACTCCGGACATGGAAAGAAAACTAGTTTTTTTAACGAGTCAAGTTCGTTTTGGAAATCACAAACGTTATCAAGATTGGTTTCAAAGACAGTACTTGGCAACACCCGAATCACAATCTTTGAGGTGTGATTTAATACGTTTTATTGTCGGCGTTATACACCCGACCAATGAATTATTGTGCTCGGATATAATACCTCGGTGGGCGGTGATAGGGTGGTTGTTCACTACTTGTACCTCTACGGTAGCTGCGAGTAACGCCAAATTAGCTTTATTTTATGATTGGCTTTTCTTTGACCCAGAGAAAGATAATATAATGAATATCGAGCCTGCTATTCTTGTCATGCATAATTCAATGAGATCTCATCCACCTGTTACTGCCACGCTATTAGATTTTTTATGCAGAGTAAGTTTATTTGAATACGTTATTATTGTTTATCGTGCGAACGACGATTTCTCATATATTAATTAAATCTTATATAATGATTATAAATCTTTGTTATTTTTTTTTCTTTACAGATAATACCAAACTTTTATCCGGCACTGACAGAAAAAGTTAGAAACGGAATATTTTTATCATTGAGACAAATTTTGGAAAAACGCGTATTACCTAGTCTTTATCCGTTATTCGATAGTCCAAAATTGGATAGAGAATTGAGGAACAAAATTAGAGAAACTTTCAAGGAATTTTGCTTACCACCTAACGCAGATCTAGGTGAAATTGTTTTCTATATCTTATGCTTGATAATCATTACTGTAAATTACAATGTAGATAAGCTTGTAATTTCCATGTCATCCTTATTTTTGTCTATCATTTTGTTTTTAACATTTAAACATACGCATGTTAACATTTATGTTTTAATACATCATTATAAAACTTTGAAAAGTATTGCTTCTTTTTCCAACTAGTTACTAATTCATTTGTACCTCATATATTTTCCTGTTGTAGTTTGTTGTCACTGTCATTTAGCTTTCAGCACATTCAACGCTTACTAACTTTGATTCTCGCATGATGTTCTTAAGCAGGTAATAAGGTTCCGATATATTCAGGTAAAATGGAAGATCTTAATAAGGATCTCAATTCAGGGTTTATCACGGATAATACGACAAACACGCCAGTAGAAAACAATCACGTGGGTCAGGATCCAGAACCAGCATTCAGTGACGAGGAAGAAGAAATGCCATTAAGGTTATTATTTGACTTTTTTTTTTTTTTATTGTTAAATGTATTTTTAAAAATATATATTTATATATAAATAATTATGTTTATACAGAATCGTTACAAGAGTAGAAGAGGAGGAAGATGAAGAGGATGTACCTTTGGCTACGATCAAACTTAAGAACGAACAAAAAAATGCAAATTGCGTTTCTAAAAAGGAAGACATCACCTCTCAGTTAAATCTTATTTTAGAACCGGAAGAATTGAGAACTGCCATTGGAAGCCTACATAGTGAAAGTGATAATGAAATTAAATGTCAAGCGGTTGAAAGAATAGTACAAATGGTCGTAGAAGACGAAATAGATGCGGAAACTGTGCCAGGTTTAGCGTCTTGTTTGTCGACGATTCTGTCAATTCAAATAACAGCACAGATATATCCGGATAATTTAAACGAAGAATCATTGACTGATAGTATAAGCACGCCATTGTTTGTTATGTTTCGAAATCATTATCAATTGTGTAAAGAAGAAGACAATAGGAGAAAACTTTTAGCTAGAGTACTAGCTGAAATGCATTCTATTCAACCAAGGATAGGATATTTACTTTTATATTTTTTAAAAGTATGGGGCAGAGAAGAAGAAAAGAGAGAAAGGGAACCAAGGTTAGTCTTAAAGATATTTGTTGTTGTTGATGTTGTTTTAATCATTATCGTCATACATCAAAAGTTGTACGTTTTGTTTTGATTTTTTACAGTAATGTCTTAAACGATGTAAAAGCCTCCGTTTATAAGGACTTCTGTGCGCAGAGAGAAAAAAAACTGGACGCATGTATAGTCGCAGATTTAAAAGTAATTATAAATTGATTTACAACGATTCTTATATTTTTTAATCATAATTTTATCTTACCTTTTTTTTTCTTTTTGTACAGTTATGTCACGAAGACAACATATCTATGATGTGTTACTTGGTGCCTGACATATACACTGGATTTCCAAACGTTGCTCTTGGAAATGTTCAATTAATGCACTTGGTCGTATCGACCGTCGATTCGGGTCAATTACAAGAATTAATTTGTCAAATAATGCAAGGCCATCTTAAAATGATGAAGAAGGAATCTTTCACGTCATTGGTTACAGCAAGCTTAAATTGGGAAACCTTCGAGCAGATCATTTTTTGGCAATTAATATCTGCTCACGATTTTCCCATTGAATATTTTTTGCCTGTATTACCAAAATTACAATTTCGCGATCATTCGGAAGCATTAACACCAATACTACTTATGCTTAAACAAGAAAAGTAAATAATCAATATTTATATTAATTAGTAAGATATAAAACGTACAAATAATTGTTATATATTATATTTTTGTTTATGTGCAGACCAACTTCGGAGCTTTTACGACAATTACTCACGCGTCAGAACGTGGATGGTGATTTGTTTGTAGTTTCTGCCTTACGTTTTTGGTGTCGCGATTATGAGGATAAACTTGGTGAATTATTGGCTAATTTATTAAGTACACGTTATCCTGCAACTAGTCCAAATAAAAGAAAACGTTCTGGAGCTAAACACAACCAACAATCTGTACCACCGACTGGCGAACAAGTTTTAGGTCATTTAGATTATTTGCGTCAGAATTGTACGTCATCTACGGAGTTACAATTGTATCACACGGAACTAATGCAGAGAGCGTTGCAACAAGCTCAAGCTGCCGGTAGTGATACACTGAGAAAGAATTATGGTGATTTGTTCGCGTTAGCAGAAGTCAACGAAGAAAACGAACCACCTCCGCCCCCGCCTACGAGTTCTGCGAGAAAACACGCGGCTGCTTCGGGTGGTGGTGGAGCTGGTGGTGGCGGGGCCAAAGGAGGAAATAGAAAAGTTGGCGTCAACACGAGGGAAAGAACGAGTTCGAAAAAACAAATTCGATATCACCTAGACAGCACATCTAGCAGTGAGGTAAACAATTTAAACGATACGTCTATTACCAAAACAAAATCAATTAAATGGTGGTAAATGAATGTTGTTAATCAGATTATATTACAATTATTAAATTGTTGTATTTTATTTATTACAACTATATAGGAAGAAGAAATCGTTAATCCAAAGCAAGCGAAAAAGAGAAAAAAAATTATAGTGGGCTCGGACAGCGACTGACCACCCAGTGTCTTCACGTGTCACATGGACCACGTCATGTGTGTGCAGCAAGATAAATTAGCATTAAGAATAGTAAGATAATACCGATATACATAGTAGATTTATCTAGCGCGACTTTTTTGTACATATATATATTATACGTTTAAAAATTGGAATACGAAACGGATATGATGTGTGTTTTGTTGATTGATTGATTGATTGATCGATTGATTGGTGCCGAGGTCTTCTTCTTCTACTAAACGCGTTTCGTAATCTAATTAAACGTAAAATGGTGCCAGGCTCTCGTTATTATCAACGTTAAATCTATGGTACGTATGTGTATTGGAAAATAGTATGTGCTGGTGTGTGAGTAATACGAGTGAATGAATGTATGTACGTATAAATGTATGTATGTCAATCTCTTGCGATTAGTTTTTTTCCAAAGTAAAAGAAAGAAAACAAAAAAAAAAAGAAGTAATACTCTTATCATATCGACTTATCGGTGCATAAATTTTAATCGATTAAAAACACAAAAAAAAAGAAAAATAAGCAACCAAAAGTGTGAATAAGAGTGAGAGAGAGAGAAAGTGTGTGTGTGTGTGTGTATACACGTAAGAAAGAAATATCGTTCATCGGTGAACAAAAAATTAAAAAAAATAAAAAATTGATTTTGAACCAAAATAAAAATTAAAAAAAAACAAACAATAACAAAGTGTTTAAGAAAAATAGGGAGGAGAGACAGGGGAAGAAAAATAAGTTTTGAAAATATATATTATTGTACAAAATGAAAGACAAATTCTAAATGAATAACCTTTGACCTGGCACCATTATTATTATTATTATTATTATTATAATATTGCAAGATATAAGAAAAAAAAAAGAAAAAAGAAAAAAATGGGGTAAATAATTGAAATGTGCGATATTTTACTCCTGTGTAAGATAAACACGTTAAATTTGTAATAATTGTGTAAAAGAAGTATCTAAATCGCATAGATTTTTCTCTGCGGTGAGAGAGTTAGAGAAAGTGAGAGTAAAAGTGTGTAAGAAAGAGAGAGAAAGAGAGAGAGAGAGAGAGAGAGTATGAGAGAAAGTGAATGAGAATGAGTGTGAGAGAGAAATGTCAATGGCGCGTGTAAGCACCCTTATTGTGCTTTAAACATATTTACCAATGATCTTTTTTACTAATTATGCGATTATCATTACTCCGATCATTACTCCCCAACCCTCACCTTACACCCAACAACACTCACATCCGAAGAAGAAGAAGAAGAAGATGATGATGATGAAGAAGAAAAGGAAGGAAGATTGATGTTAAATGCGACAAAATTATTCCTACACATATATTTTGTCAATTTAGAATTTAATTCGTTAATTAATTTTCATGAATTTAAACCATTGACGCAACCTCAGTAAATTATTTTAACTGAAAATAATAATAATAATAATAATAATAATAATTATCATAATTAATAATTATTAATAATAATAATAATAATCTTTGATAGAGAATCGTTTGAAATAACATTGCGAATAATGTGTCGTGTTAGATGGGATTCATGCGTTTATTTTTAAGAATATACATTATACATATATATATATATATATATATATATATATATATATATACATTTTTATTTTTTATATTTGATATAGCAATCACATGTATTATCAGATAATTTTTTCTTTTTTTTTATTATCAATAATATATATGTATATATAAATACTTCATATATAAATGAAAGCTATACTTTTGGATTTATGTAAGAGAACAATATTTTTAATTGCACTAATGTAAATAAGTAAAATGTTGATATAAAATTTAAGATTTATTAATAATTTACTTTTTTATTTATTTATGATTTTTTTTTTTTTTTTAATCTGTGAAAATTCAATCATCTTCAAAGTTCAAATAACGATAAGTAAGAAACAAATTTTGTGCGAATTATTTTCATTAATTATTAATCATTATTAAAACATAAATAATTCTTTGTAAAATTTATATTCTTATAAAAAAAAAAAAAGATTGAAAATATTTATATATATTCTTGGAATGAACGCATGAGTCTAAAGGAGAGTATTTTAGAAATTTAGGAAAAAATGCTCTCACACATTACACATTATTAATAATTATTCTTAATATCGCACTCTTGTGATTAGTTGGAATTTTTTTTTTTTTTTTTTTAAACGATAACTACAGTTTTAAATCGAATTTATTTGTACTTTTAGTTTCACATTGTTTTCATTTTTATTTTTCCTTTTTTTCTTTTTTTTTTCATTTGAGATATTCTAGATCATTTGATCTGACGTAAATGTATTTTTTATTTTTTTTTATTCAATTTTTAAGCACATTTAGATGATTGAACTTTGATGAACAATTTCTTCAATTTTTTTATACGTGCATAAATTTTTTTCTTTTTTTCCAAATGAGAGAGCGCGCGCGAGAGAGAGAGAGAGAGAGAGAGAGAGAGAGAGAGAGAAAGAAGGAAAGAAGGAAAGAAAGAAAGAACAATTTTATTTTTTAAATTCCACATTTTGCATTTGAATTATTATTGTTCATTATTCGCGACTTAGTTATTATTTTTAATTTTAATTTTAATTTTTATTTTTATTTTTATTTTTGTTCTCTTTCGTATCCTCGATAAAATTAAATGAGTTTAATTATATAAATATATATATATGAAAGAGAGTACACATACGTTTACACAAACGCAAACATACAAACAAAAGAAAAACACATTCATACACACACACACACACACACACACACACACACACACACACACACACACACATTGTTCCTGCAAATTTTCTCAAGTCTTTCGAACAACGTCTTTCGCCATAAATTTTGGATTTAAAATTCTCTCGTTTAAACGAAGACCAAATTAGAAAAAAAAGAAAACAAACAATAATAAAAATGATGATGATGATGATGATGATGATGATAATGAAGAATAAAATGAAACATATTGATATAGTGAATAATTCTAACGCATTTAGAAAAACATATATATATATATATATATATATATATATATATATATATATATATATATGTATGAAAGTATAACAAACGGTTCTTGCTTTTATCAAATTTTATACGAGTTTAAAGTAACGTTGTTAAAACTGTACTTTAAACTCAAGATTTGTTTGTTTTATGTACGATTAGGATAAAAATTCATTATGAGCCATTTATTTGCCTAATTAATAATTAATTCCACTTAAGATAAATGTTTAGAAAAAAAAGAAAACAAAATAATTGTATACGTGGGTGGGTTGAAAAGTTGTGAGCCTTAAGGAAGAAAACTTTTATTTGAAAGAAGAAGAAAAAGAAAAATGAAAAAAAGAATTGTAAAAATTAATTCGACGTTGCAATTGTCGTCCAATTGTTGTTAAAAACAATTATTTAGTAAAAATTAATCAACTCACTCCCTTATTTATATATATATATATATCATATTATTTGTTATTTAACAGTTATACAGAAAGAGAGAGAGAGAGAGAGAGAGAGAGAGAGATTTGCGTTATTTAGTATAATATTTAAACATATATATATATATATAATAATAATAATAATAATAATAATTATTATTATTATTATTATTATTAAAAAGAAATTTATTTTTAATACAAAATAGTTTAGATTATTATAAACCATGATGTGTGTGTGTGGTTTTGATAATAAAAATGTCGACGAAAATATTCTACAAAAAAAAAAAAAAGAGAAAAAACAAAACTAAAAAACAAAAAACAACAAAAAAGAAAATGAAAAGAAAAGAAAAGAAAAGAAAAAGAAAAAGAAGTGGAGTTAATATCCAGATTACGAGCGAATTAATGGCTTCATACGTGTATTTAAAATAAAAAAAAAAATAAAAAATTAAACGTGCTCATCGTTTGGTGTTTCGTTTTGGAAAAAAAAAAAGATCAAAACAAAAACTAATTAAGAAAAGAAAAGAAAAGAAAAGAAAAGAAAAGAAAAGAAAAGAAAGAACAATATATGAAATAGTTACGAATACATTTTAATAAATAAAGATAAATTGCAAGGAAACGAAACAAAATGAAGAAAAAAAAAAAAAGATTAATTTAAATTTTACACAGTTTTACAACTATAAAAAAACAAAAAAACAAAACATTTCTTCGAGTAGTTTTGAACTTTGATTTTTATTCCCATGATTGATTGATTGATTGATCATATTAAATGTTCAATAATAAAATGGGCGTTCATGTGTTTGATAATAAATTTGAAATGAATAATAAAATTGGTGAAGATTGTGAAGACTAACCTAAAATATGAAGATAATTTTCAATAGAAAAATTATTGTGCGTATGTAATGCGAACGATTGAAATAGAAATAAAATTAGAAATAGAAAGGAAGTCTGTGTATGTGTGTATATGTAAGAGTAAGAGAGAAAGAGAGAGAGAGAGAGAGAGAGAGAGAGAGAGAAAGAAAATGTTTGTACGAACTATTTGTTATTAGCTTTTTATTAGGATTGTACACTAATGTAAGCATCTACGAGATAATAAGAATTTATATTCCAAGTTAAATATATTAACTTTTGATCATACTTTTACTTATCTCTTAGATAGCATACATACGTACATATATATATATATATATATATATATATATATATAGAAAAAAAAAACATATACAAACACATGCCACCATTTTACGACCAAATGTTATTTAGTTTACATTTTGCACTTTCCTACAAAATGAAGATTAATCATTCACGATGAAAAGAAGGAAAGGAAAAAATAGGGGGAAAATTATTTTGCCTATACTTTAAAAAAAAAAAAAACAAAACAAAAAAAAGATAATATCATCTTGATCTATAAAATGATCTCTCTGTTTCCCCAACCACCACCACCACCACCACCACCCTCTTCTGTAATTTTTATTATTTAATTTAGTTGTTGTGTTGTATTTTTTCGATGTTGTTCAACTCGATGGTGGTCCAATTCGTGTATCGTTTGATTTAAAATTATTTCGTTGATCATAGAAAATTTATTATTATTTTTATTACCTTTTTTTTTTATTAATCGATACATTTATTATTATTATTATTATTATTTAGTAATTTGTTTATCTGTTAATATTGTGCTTAAGATATCTTTTTCCTTTTTTTAAAAATATATTATGTATATATATATATATATTTTATCCCCCCCCCCTCCCCAGTAACAACCCTTATTATGAAAGAAAGAAAAAACAAGGACATATGTGAAATATTACAAGAAAAAGAAAATGGAGGATAATGATGGAATCCATCCCCCCCCCCAATTTATGTTTATAGAAAAAAATGATTTATACAGTCAAGGGATAAAATTTTTACAGTAGTGTATAAGTAGTAGTGATAATATTGTAACAATTATTATTTAATTTTTGTTATAATAATTGTTAAAATATTTATGAAATAATAATTATTATATATTATATATTAGACAAATATTATTTACTATTATTGTAAAAATACTTTTGTGTCCTTTAGCTTATATATTACAAGTTTTGTATTACAAAATTCAACCATATTTGCGAATC